TAGACTTGTTCCAGATCCTGTACTTCCCTTGTAAATACCATAATTGTGATTTTGGTGAGCTCTCTGTGGCCACTGCAACAAACTATAAAATTCAGCAGAGAAGGAGTGAATGATTGACTGATGTCAAGACTGATTTTTTTTTAGAGCTTGGTCAGAGGAAGGACATCTGATCCCCACTCACAAGAAACAGCCTTGGGCTGTTTTCCTGATTTTCCTTCCCCCCTTGTGACAAGGTCAGGCACAACCACCAAGGGAGAGCTGAGGGAACAGGAAAATGTCAAGCTCCTGAAGTGTCTTTGTTAAGGTTATCTGGAGAAATCCATACTGATTTATCCCCTTCAAATAGCCTCTGCAGGTCTGTTGTAAAATGAAACCGTTTGTCTCTGTAGGTGGCACTGGCAAGGCAGTCACAAGGAACATTTGCAAAGGGTGAGGCCCAGGGATAAAAAAAAAAAAAAAAAGTTCTTGTTTTCTGAAAGCAAAAGCCTGGCACAAAGGGTTTTCCACAATTGTAGGGACTAGACTGGAGGCAGCAACAAGGGCTGACCTCCCCAGGGGCTAATTTGCTGCTCAGGATCCAGTAGTCTGATCTCACTGTGAGATTTCACATGGGTCCTGGCAGTTTTACCACAGCACTGCCGGAGCGCACTGTGCCCTGCACAGAGGACTCCCCTCAAAGGAACCCCATGTGTCTCATCCTCAGACTAAAAACTCCTACCAGTAGGGCTCCTGATACACTAAGACCTCAACATTGTATAGCAGCAGCAAGAAAGAAAAGAGCCCGCAGGCTGTGTGTTTTCCTAGAAAGTACAGGGCTTTCTAACAACAAGAGCCTTCTAAAATTGGCATCCACTGCCTTGGGAGATTAAATTCCCTGTTGCTGGGCAGGTTCCAGATGCTGGTGACCAACTGGCCAGGACAGCATATGAGGGACTCAGACAGTGGTAGAGAAAAAGATTAGATGCTTCAGAGAACCCCACAGCCTAGGGATCTAAGAAAAGGAGGCAACTACCTACTCAACTCCAGAGGATAAAAGTATTCTTGATTCACGTCATCTAATCACTAGGGAAGGGGACTTGGTATTTTTGTATTACATCATCTTCCTAATAGGCACACCCGCACACTCTCATTCAGTTCCACACATACACATGGTGTAAATCAGTGGAGGTCCATTATAACAAACTTTACAGGATCATCCAGAATTTTTTAGAAGAATCTTGGTGCACAAGCTCCCTATCCACAGTAGCTCTTCAGGAAATAACACCACTAAATCACCTCTTGTTGTGTTCTGTGCTGTTTGAGTTATAACCAACCCATAACTGACCCTCCAGCAGGTTTTCGGAACCAACCCATAACTGACCCACCAACAGGTTTTCAGAGACAGTATAAATCACATGGGAGGAAACCGTCCATCCTTCTCCTGTAGAACAGCTGGTGGATTAGAACCATATGCCTCTGGGACTGCAGTGGGGAGGAAACCGTCCATCCTTCTCCTGTAGAACAGCTGGTGGATTAGAACCACATGCCTCTGGGATTGCAGTGTAGTTTCTTACCACGAGGCCACTAGAGCTCCCTTGATCATCTCTTATGCAATACAAATATCTGAATATACAGTACTTGAATAGGGTACCTGATCAGATGACCTACTCTAGAGCATAATGAAACTACAAAGGTGACTGAGCTCACTCTGAGCCTTCCTAAAACTCCACATAGTGGATTTACTAACAGTGCTCATTTCAGAAAAAACCAAAAGGATTAGACCACAGGTGCAATCTGGTGCAGGTTTCCTGGCAACAAATGTAGAACTGTGAAGTCTACTGTATCAACAAAAAGTCTAGTTGTTGTTGTTGTTATGTGCCATCAAGTTGCTTGCGACTCATAGTAACCCTATGGACAACAGCCCTAAACTCTGCTCTATCCCTTGTCAATCTTATTGCCTCCAACATGCCCATCCCCATTACCCCACTGACTGAATCACCGAGGGTCGTCCTCTTCTGCGCTGTCTCTCCACCCTCCCAAGTATGATGTCCCTCTCCAAGGACTGAACCTGCCTTGCAACATGTCCAAAGTATGTTAGATGGAGCTTCAGAATCCTTGCCTCCAAGGAGTAGCCTGGCTCCACCCTCTCCAGGATGAACTTGTTTGTTCTCCTAGCAGTCAATACTCTTCTCCAGCACCAAAGCTCAAAGGCATCAACTCTCCTATCATCCCGAGTCATTGTTCAGCTCTCTGATGAATAACAAGTAATTGCAAAGACCATGGCCTGTATCAGGCGCATCTTAATCTCCAGATTGACATAGTTGCTCCTCAGTACCTTGGAGAGGTCTCTGATAGCAGACTTTCTCAATACAATTTGTCTTTTAATTTCCTGGATGCTGGTACCAAGAGTGTTGATTGTAGAGCCAAGCAAATTGAAGCTGTCAACAATCTCAATCTCTTCATCATCCATCATGATGCTGCTAATTGGCCCAGTGGTGAGAATCTTTGTTGCTTTTAGGTTTTTGTTTTTTTTCTTTGTTTTGTTTTGTTTTTATTTTGACCTTCAATCCATATTGAAGGCTACAGTCCTTGATCCTCCACAGCAAGCACTTCAGGTCCTCCTCAGTTTCAGCAAGCAAAGTTGTGTCACCTGCATAACGCAGATTGTTGATGAGCTACCTCCAATCCTGATGCCACATTTCTCCTCATAGAGCCCAGCCTCCTGGATAATCTGTTCTGCATATAGATTGAAAAGATATGGAGATAGGACACATCCTTGACGCACTCCCTTCCCAATCGTGAACCACGCAGAATTATTTACTGAATAAAAATACAGGTCCATCCATTTACCAGATTCACTAGCAAAAATGAAGATAGAGAGGTCAGGGCAGACAAGGATGTGCATAAAAACAATGCTCATACATATGCTGAGTGTGTAAACTGGTACAACCACTTTGGAAATGTGACACTATCTAAGGAGGTCAATGATAAACATACAATATAAAAGATTCACACAATTGAACTGACAATAAAATAAAAACAAATAGGATTGTAGAAACATAGTATCATGCATTAAACAACATCATGTGAACATTGCTAGAATACTGACAATTCTACAGGACTAACAATTCATGTAATCAATAAATAAACTGCAAGGAAAATATATTTTTTTTAAAAAAAGAAGTGAAGTAGCCTTATAAAATACATATTGACCAACTAAAATATATGTGCTGTGTTTGGATCCTGATTGGAATCAACTATGATTTTTAAAGTGTGTGTATGTAAGTGTGTGCATGAGAGAGTGAGAGAGACATAACAAAAACTCTGAACTGTGATGTAAACAAATTCTATTGAGGTGTGGTAACAGCACTGTATTGAAAATAAATCAGTGTGTTGAAAAGGAGGAGGGAAAAACAGATGACCACCATGAGCCAAGGTGGTATAACAGTGTGTTGTGAATATGGTCCACATGAGTAAGGACACTTTATTTATCTAGATCTAGACTCCTATTCTCTCTACTACTGTTTTTGTGTTTAAGCTTAAGGAAGGGCAGAGGGAGAGAGAAGGAAGAAGATTTGAGAGCCTCTAGATAAGTCAGTACCTATAGGAAATGTTTTACAGAACCTGTTTCAAAATAGTTTCTTTGTGCCAAAGTGGTCATAATGTTAAAGAAATGTAACAATTTATCATTCAGTGTTGGAAGATCACTGTAACAGTCAGTCTCTTTTTGCTTAGCTATTTTTCCTAATTATCTCCACAGTGAATAAATCAGAAAACTGATTCTCAAATTGTGTAAAAATGCAGAAGGGCTGCCAGAAACAAAAGCTTCTCACTACACATAGATGCTGGTGTATAAATCCACATTTCTTAACGATTTCTAGGTCACAGACCCTTTACTGAATATGACGAAAGTTACTTCTTTACCTAGGAAAATTCATATCCTTCAGAATGCTGTAGAACAATGCCAAGACTCAGAACTCACAGACTTCTTTGCTGTTTATAAGTAATAATAATAGCTGTTATTTATGGATTACTTAATTTCATAAAGTAAGTGATCCTAGCATGATGGCACAGGATAGAACACGGTTCAGATCTTTAGTTCATGGGGTCACTTTGAGTTGTATTCGACTCAACAGCACTTAGCAAGAACATCAGCATGATCTTAAGTGTTTTATAAGTGTTAACTCATTAATCCTCTGATAAAGGAGCTCTCATCATCTCCATTTTACAGATGCAAAGAGTGAGGACAGAGGCTAACTAGCATGCCAAGGATCGCATAGCAACTGGGTAGAAGAGCCAGCGTACAAACTCGAACCACCAGGCTGCAGAGCAAGACTCTAAACTATCCCCTACTCACGTGGCCACTCACAAAATTTAAATATATCAAATAATCATAATATCTTGAATCATATCTTGAGAATGCTTTCAAATTCAACTTGTGGTAAGTCACTGTCGTGTGCTAGACTCATCAGAACACACAAACTTACAGCAGTACCATAAGGGACCGGCCTGGGGCACCAACTCAATGGCTGTGAGATGGGCTTTCATACCCCACTGTTTCTCTTTAAGGTAGGGTGAGCGTGGATTGCTGATAACCAAAATCTTCTCAACCAAGCAGGCTAAGCTCCAATCTGTGGATACAGACCAATTCTGTGGACACCAAAAATTGCTCACGAATCACTGAGTAGAAGAATAAGCATTTTATATTTATCTGCTAACACAAAGGTTGGCAGTTCAAAGGCACCCAGTGGTTCTGCAGAAGACAGTTTTCACGCTCAGCTGCCACAAAAATCATTACCAGAGAAAACCTACCAGGAGTTCTACTCTGAAAGACACTCATGAGGTCACAAGGTCACGGTGAGCTGCAAGGGTTTACTTCCCAGTTGCAAGAAAGAAACAAATTGTTCAATATATTAAAGACAACTGCTTAGAGCTCTACCACCACTCTGCAACCACACACCACATTTCAGTCACACACCACAGCCTGCAAGCAATGGGAAGGAAGCCCGCCTAAAACTTACAGTTTCACAGTTCAAGCATCGCGTTTCATTGGTGAGCGTTCCCTGAAATATCTCATGGACCCAGGTGAGTTCTGGTTTATTGTTTTCCGCAGGCTCATTCATGTTGCCATTTTTTAATTTCCCATTCTGCTTTTCCTGTTTCTTCTCTTCCTGCAGGATGTCCGCAATAGTGTTTAACAAATAATTTAAAAACTCGTGAGCATCCTGTTGCATGTAGTTATCAAAGAGATCTGGAAAGGAGAAGGCCGTTATTTCAATCTCTGTTTCTCTAAAAGACAAGGACCTGCTTGGTGGTTGATGTCACATACTCATTTTTAGTATTTAGATTGAAAATGAAGAATGGTATGGAATGCAAGTGTACCTGTCACTAGCATGCCATTTCAGTGAGTAAGTTCTAAAAGAATTTTTGTCTATTTCCATTTTCTGCCACCCAACAAGGACTAGAAGCACTGGTGGCCTAATGGTAAGAAATTTTACTGCAAACCCAAAGGCATGGGTTCGAATCCACCAACTGCTCCATAGGAGAAGAATGGGCAATCTCCTCTGCTGTGATTTATTACCTTTGAAAACCCAACTGGAGGGTCAGTTATGGATCGGTTCCAACTTGACAGCACACAACACCACCACCAAGAACTATATTTCCCCCTAAGAGATTGGGATTATTAACAGCTTTAGTTTGCTTGGCTCCACAATCAACACTCTTGGTACCAGCAGCCAGTAAATTAAAAGACAAATTGCATTGGGGAAAGTCTGCTGTCAGATACTTCACCAAAATACTAAAATCAATGATATCTGTCTGGAGACTAAGGCATACCTGATTCAGGCCATAGTCTTTGCAATTACTTGCTACACATCAGAAAGTTAGACAATGAGTAGGGATGATAGGAGAATTGATGCCTTTGAGCTATGGTGCTGGAGAAGAATGTTGACTATACCATGGACTGCTAGGAGAACAAACAGGTTCATCCTAGAAAGGGTGAAACTAGGCTGCTCCTTGGAGGCAAAGATTCTGAAGCTCCGTCTGACATATTTTGGACATGCTGCAAGGCAGGACCAGTCTCTGGAGAGGGACATCATGCTTAGGAGGATGGAGGGACAGAACAAGAGAGAAAGACCCTGGATAAAAGATGGATTAATTCAGTGACTGGGGGAATGATCATAGGTGTGTCAGAGACAATAGACTGGCACAGGATAGAGCAGGGTTTAGGACTATTGTGTATAGGTTTGCTATGAGTTGCAGGTGACTTGACAGCAAATGAAAACAACAAACAGTCACCATAAATATGAAAAGATACAAAAATTTTTATTTGCTCTTTGAAACAGAACAAAAACTACTTGGTAAGTTTGGGGGGGTGGGGGGCTATATATTCATTTTTAATATGATGTCAACATCCAATGCTCAATTATTCATCTTGTAATCTATCCAGAGCAACTGGGGTCTCTTTCCCAAAGATCATATTAAACCCTAGACCAGCCTGGAAGCAGCTGAAATGAAGCACATCGGGGAGATGAGGCAGGTGCATGGAGAGGGAGTTTTCGGATAGCATTCTGAAGCAGAACCCAGATGACTCCAGAGGCCTGGTGTTGTTTCTCGCCATAAGGACAAACAGTCAAGAGTTGACTGCAGCTGTGAGATGTCATTATTAATCATGTTCACAACTAGATGGGGAGTGCTCTACTTCCTTCTCCACTCCAATTAGCTTTATTCTGGTATGTATAAACTGTAACAGCTTCAAAAGATAGCAATCAAATTAAATGAGATTTTATAAAGCAAACATCTGATTAACTGTGCAAGTCTGCTGGCGTAAGCAGGAATCGAGCACAAAACACAAGTTCCCACAGCAAATATTGTTTTATCATTTCACCAGGGCAAGATATCTGGAATACACACTTAGCTTTATCACAACCACCACCATCACTACTCCAAAAAGAAAAGGGAAATTTAGGTCACAGCAGAGCATTTTTTATATCATATAAAGATATCCATTTGGTATCTTCTCATTGTCGTAGGCAAACTGAAATCAGAGGTATTATTTTTAAATCAGTGAAGCCTCTGATTAGGTACTTTGAATTTAATTTAGTCACTTATGACAAGTTACTAGATAATACAATTTTATTCAATTACTGCATCAACCTATTTTTCCCCCATCAGTGCCCCACTTAGAAGCCTGCCTTGGGCAATTTTTACCGTTAGAATGAGCCTTCCAAGATAACGTCTCCTCCCAATGTGAAAGCAAAGAGAAGATCCTTCCAAATTGGGCTGATAAAACTGAATTTTTAAACACAGTTCTAATCTATTTCTGTTTTATGTATACTGGAGCAGAGAGGAAAAACAAGGTTTCCTGCCTTTTAAATGCTATTTGAGTGAATTGCCCTATTTTCCCCCCTGTAAAAAAAATCAGATAAAACAGGAAGCATTTTTTAAGAGCAGTGAACTATTCTATATGATCGTGTAAATGGTGGACCTGTGGCATTGTACACTTGTCAAAACCTATAAGACTGTACAACACAATGAGGGAACCATGATGGAAACAATGGGCTTTCCTTAATAATGATGTATCAGTATTAGTGCAGCAACTGTAACAAATGTGCCAAAGGAATCCAAGCTGTTAATAACAGGAAAAAGTGAGACGGGATCAGTATAAAGAGAGTGCCCTTTTTGCATATTTCTATGTACGCCTTTTAAAAATAAACTATTTCAATAAAAATGCTCTAAAATGGCTCTTTAAAAATTAAAACATTTTTTAAAAACAAGCAAACAAAACAAAATCAAACACCTCACTCTGGTTACATGGAAGCATGCAGGATTCTCCCAATTTGGGAGTTTTCACACAATACTCACCATTCTCTTTTCTGAGTCTTGAGATGAATTTCTTTGGTGGGATCACGCCAACCTTCTTCTTCTGCGTGGCAATGCTGTGGAAAAGGTCTGCCAGGCACGTCAGCAAGTTTTCCTTCTTTTTTTGCTGGGCCTTGTAAGCCAGCACATTCTCCCTGAACGGCCGGCAGAAGTACAACGCCTGAAGCACGGAGTTACAGTAGCAGGTGTTGCCAAACTGCCAAAGGACAACAAGGATGACTCAATGCATGGTCCAGGAACTCGGCTTCCCTCTACAAGCCATTCCAGACCTCCTTTATCTGTGTCCAGCTTTTCAAATCCAAAAACCAATCAAATAAACACATTTGCCTCTCTGCTCTAGAGCAACAGGAAAAGACCCAAAGTTTACATGAGCCTCTGTGCTCCATCTTTGAGAAAGTAATCTTGGTTGGTGCTTCTCGAGTGCATAAAAGCCTCAAGAATGGCAATAAGTACTCTGCCTTAATAAAGCATCTAATGAGCCTTTCTGATGCTTAAAAAAGGGAAGGAAAGAGAAAGTATCTGAATGATATGGAGACCCAGAAAGGCAACTGGCTAAATAAAAGATGGCACAATGCAACACATTAATTAAAACGCCCGCTAACAGTGAAAAATACAAATCCAAATGAAAAAGAAATCCAGGAAGTAGTAGCTACTGGCTCAGCTGAGACAGTCTTTCCTGAGTGGGAACTTGTGTCTGCATTTCCCTCCCAAAATTCCAGGGCCAGAGCCCGCTGGCTTTAGAACACACTTCCTCGGTCACCCCAAATAAAAGTGAGAGAGACAAGTGCTTCCTTAAGTCACCCCATCAGCTTCTCATCACCTTAACTTCTAAATTACCTTCCACCTCATTACCAGCAAGCACCACCCTGCTTCCTGGTCTCTTGAAACCTAAAGAGGGCTCATACGATAAGAGTGTGTACTTCTGCAAAATCCAAAGGACCCAGATGATGCTTGGGGAGAGGAGCACATCACCATCTCATTAATTTTCAACTGACTAGAAGACCAACTCTGGGGAGAACACAGCTGAGACTCACAATTACTTGTGGAAAAGGGAAGAAGTCTCTGAAGAGGCAACAAGACGAGTAACACAAATTGCAATGTGCAGCGTACGATTAAAATAGAACATGTACCCCTTCTCGAAAGCAGCTGCTGGCTTGTGTGTCATTTACCCACGAGTGAGACAGATGCTCTGCCATACTTAACATGGCATTTCTACATATGCTAAAATAGAAAAGTGCCTATTTTTATGCATTTTTAATCTACTTCAACACAATTATGTAATAGATAAACCTCTTTTTATCGAGAAGCTCGAACCTTCATAAATTACCACTGGAGGGAGGCATAAACGGGGCAGCTTCTAAGTCTAGAGGGAGCTCTGGTGGATTAGTGGTGAGAAGCTGTGCGGCCAACCCTAAGGCATGAGGTTCAGACCCAGCAGCTGCTCTGAGGGAAAACAACAGGCAATCTCCTCTCACGTGACTCGGTGCCTTTGAAAATCTGCTGGAAGGCCAGCTATATGAGTCATTTCGGACTCAAAAGTACAGGACAACAAAACTATTCAAAAATCTAGCTCTCACAATACCTCCACAAACTATGAAATAGGGTTCCTTCATTGAGCTACATTAAGGCCTTTCCAATGGCTAAATGAGTTTGTGTCAAAGCTGATGTCTGTATTTCACCTTCCTACGTTCCAGGACTCCAGCCTCCCTCCTTCCATTCTTTGCCTTCTTCACATCTCTTCCTTTCCCACACCCCCTTTCAGAAGCAGTCGGTACTGACCCAGTGGCCTAGAGAAGAAAAGGATCTCATATGTACTCAGTGTTCACAGTATTACTCTCAGCCTCTTGTCAAGGTCCAACGGGAGATGTCATTCATTCCTTACTGTAACCTTAGAGATAAGAAAGCCTAGTGGCACAATGCATCCCAGGATAGGTTAGTAAACTAAAGGTTAGTAGTTTGAATCCACCACTTGCTCCACAGGAGGCATTGACTGCCTTCCTATAAAATGTACAGTCTTGGAAATCCAATAGTTTTCCCACCAACTCAATGGCAGTGAGTTTGGCTTGAAGTTTTGGCAACAACAAGAGATATTTTGATATCCTTTTAACAGACAGAGAAACAGAAGCTTAGACAGGACAGGAAACTTGCCCAAGATCACAGAGTTGGTGAGCAACACAGGCAGAGTTCAAATAACTTAAGACAGTATTACTTCAAAGCCAAGGTTCTTTCCATTAAACCACAAGATGGCATTCACTTTCCAGGATTATTTTCAGCTTCCCCAATGGAAAATGTCTATCATACCCAGGCACTAACAGAAGGTACTCAGAGCTGATGTCCCAGAAAACCTGGTAACTGTGCCACGTATAACTTTCCTACAGGGAAAAAGGATCAGATGAGGAAAAAAGCTCAGAGGAATGGCAGATAACACTGCCTTTACGGTTATAATCAGCTTAGCAAGAAAGTAGGGCCTGGCCATATACAAGGGGCCTGACTGCGCATGGTGCAACAAATTGTGAGTGAATGTAGCTGTTAAAAGAAAGGTTCCTGGTTTGCATCTAGTCTATCCAGAGGTATTTTGCAAGAAAGGCTTGAGGCTCTACTTCAAAAAAAAAATAAATTAAGTAAGTAAGTAAGTAACCACTAGAAACTCTATGGAGCCTAATTCTACTAACACCCATGGAGTGACTGCAGATAAGAAACAATCTAACAGCAAATGGTTTTCTTGCTGAGCAGACACAGAAGAGAATTCGGAGATCAACCTGCTCCAATCAAGGCCTGTACACAAAGTCCCCGCTTCAGGTACCACCATCACGTCAGAGAGTTAAACAGTTACTGGTGATGAGCTGGGAAGTTTTAAAGTTCTGGCTGTACAGATATATACTGGAAACAAAGACCACCAGAAGAAGTCACTCAAATGATAAAGGGAAAACATAAAAGCAGAGTTGGCCACAAAGACCAATGAAATAGTTATGAAAGTCGTGTGTGCAAAGGAAATTCCTTACAGAGTGGGAATTTAAAAAAATAAAAAAGAATCTGATGCAAAAGTTAAATAGATTTTTTTTCACCCTTGGGGCAATTCAAATTTTTAAAAAATAGATCAAATTTTCTCTTCCACAACACTTGCCACTTATGGTGACTAAGGAAAAAATGATTCAAAAATTGGTAAGTGGAGTTGCTTCAAGTACTCCAGGCCATTTAATAAGCTCTAGTTGATGTTATGTGCTGTCAAGGTGGGGCTACCTCATAGCTGACCCCCAGAAAGTCTTCAGAGGTTGTAACTAGCACATGAAGAGAGCGCCCATCTTTCTCCCTTGAAGCAGCTGGTGGATTTAAACCATCCACCTATGAGCTAACTAACTCTATCCACTAGGCCACCAGAGCCCCCTCTTTTTATTGTACTTACATTGACCAATCCGAAGTAGTGCTCATTGATTGGAAACTGCTCTGGACCAATGTCTTTTTCCAGAGCAGAGGCATTGGTGCCCTAGAAAAGAAAAACAACAAAAGGTTTCATTCCAGGTAAAAGAGACAAGACCGTAAAATGATACTTAAAAAGAGTCAATTATCAAGACGAGCCTGTCCTCCAGTCACCCCGGGCTTTTATGGTGCTCGAACTGCAAGAAATGGTGTCAGAAGCAAACATCAATCATGTGACTCCTACGTTTCTCCTCACCCAACATACTCATCCCTTCAAACCTATTTTGCCTGGTCTCCATTACTGAGAGGCAAATAAGCAAACCCTCACCCAAAGCTTCTAAATAAAACATCTTCAGCTCAGGTGGCAGCAGCTGCTTTTCAAATATTTGATGGTGTCGAGTCGTGACCACTTTCTGACTCAACATCTCCATTCTAATAAAGAGTTATTATGTGCATCCACTACATGCCGGACACTATTCTAGCACTGACAATGGAGGAGAGAGCGAGGCACACACACACGGTGTGCATTAGTGTGCATTCTAGTGAATGAAAGCAGCTTGGAACAAAACAAAGTCTGCTGGATGACACATTAGAATGTGATGAGTAGAGAAAAATAAAGAAATGGGGACACGGTGAGGGGTGGCCGCGAGTAGAAGAGAGGCACTGCAAGGAGTAGGAATGGATGGGGCAGCATGAATAGTGGTGGTCAGGGAAGGCCTCACTGAGAAGGTAGAATGTCCAAGGAAGGCTAATCTCCAAATGCATCTAAGAGATAAGCCACATACATGAACTCAAGAGTTACACTCTAGAAAGAGAATAATAACTCTAGTGTTAGAGGAGAAAAAATTGAGATTGCTCACAGTTTCAGCCTGCTCAGCTCCACCATCAACACTCTGGGCACCAGCAGTCAGGAAATCAAAAGATTAATTGCATTAGGAAAATCTGCTGTCAGGGACCTATCCAGAGTGCTAAAGAGCAACAATGTCAGCCTAGAGACTAAGGTGCACCTAGTGCAGGCCAGGGTCTTCGCAATTACCTGTTATGCATCACAGGGCTGGATGATGACCAAAGAGGACCAAAGAATTAATGCTTTTGAGTTGTGGTTTGGGAGAACAATATTGAACATACCATGGACTTCTAAGAGAAGAAACAGATTTGTCCTGGAGAGGGTAAAGTCAAGCTGCTCCTTGGAGGCAAGGAGTCTGAGGCTGTCTCACATACTTTGGCCATGTTGCCAGGAAGGACCAGTCCTTGGAGAAGGACACTGTACTTGGAAGGGTGGAGGGTCAGATCAGGTGAAGAAGACCCCAGATGAGATGGATTGACACAGTAACTAGGGTAATGAGAGTAGATGTGTCAGAGGAAGTGAGATTGGCCCAGGATAGAGCAGAGTTCAGAGTTACTGTGCATAGGGTCACTGTGAGGCATGGCCAACTTGACAGCACATAACAACTCAGAGTATACACTATGTAGTGGTCTGGTGGCCCAGCTGGCAGGGAGTTGCACTGTTAAGCACAAAGCAGGCAGTTCAAATGCACAGCTGCTCCATGGGAGAAGATGAGCAGTTTCCTTTCATGCCCTTTACAGCATCTGAAAAGCTACTGAAGGCTCACCTATGAGTTGGTTTTGCTCAACGGCATTTAGCTTGAGTTTGTGTTTTGAGTGCTTGTGCTGTGCACCAGGAATTAAGCTAAATAGCACTAATTCTCACCTTTCTATGAGAGACAAGCACTAGTACTGTCCCCATTTAGCAAACCAGAAACTTGAGGCTCCTTGTATGTTGTTAAATGCCCTCAAGTCCATGGCAACTCACAACAACACTACAAACAACAGACCCTGCATCATCCTCATGGTCCGCATGCTCTTGTCCACTGAGACAGTCACTGCGTCAGTCCATCGCATGGTGGGGCTTCCTCTCCTTTGCTGGTCCTTCTACCTTTCCCAGCCTGACATCTTTTTCTAAGAACCAGCCCCTCCTGAGAACATGTCCTAAACATGGGACACAAAGCATCACCATCCTTGCCTCTAAGGAGCACCCTGGTATACTTTGTCTGAGACATGTTTGTTTATTCTTTCAGTGCTCTATGGGACATTCAGCACTCTGCAATACAAAGGCATCAACTCTTCTTTGGATTCTTTAGTTATTGTTCAACCTTCAGATGCAAAAAAAGCCAACTGAAAGCACCACGGCTTGGATCAGGCCTGTTGTAGCTGTTGTTGTTGTGTGCCACCAAGTTGGAAACACCTATAGCTGACCCTCCAGGGGGTTTTCAGAGGCAGTAAGCCACGCAGGAGTTGAATGCCCATCTTTCTTCTGCAGAGCAGCTGATGGGTCCAAACTGTGTATCTTTGCATTGGCAGTGCAATTTCTTACCACTAAACCCCCAGAGATCCCTGGACCAAGCCTGGAACAAGGTCTAAAGAAAAGCCTGTCCACAGTTCACAGCCCAACCTTCTCCCACAGAGAAGCTGGTGAATTCAAACTGTGTGCCTTTGGAATTGTAGCACAGCTCCTTACAATTAGGCCATAAGAGACTAGATGGATAGATGGACAGACGGACAGATTCTCGCCACTGGGCGAACCGGCAACATTATGTTAGATGGAGAAGGGACTGAGATTGTTAACAGCTTCAGTTTGTTTGGCTCCACAATCAACATTCTTGGTACTGGCAGCCAGGAAATCAAAAAAAGAACTGTGTTGAGAAAGTCTGCTTTCAGGAACCTTTTCAGAGTACTGAAGAGCAAAGGCTCTTCAGACTAAGGTTCACCTAATACAGGCCATGGTCTTCGCAATTATTTGCTATGTGCCAGAGAGCTGGACAATGACTAAGGATGACAGAAGAATAAATGCCTTTGAGCTGTGGTGCTGGAGAAGAGTACTGAATATACCATGGACTGCTAAGAGAACAAACAAGTCTTCCCTGGAGAGGGTGAAATCAGGTTGCTCCTTGAAAGCAAGGATTTTTCAAGCTTAGTCTGGCATACTTTGGGCATGCTGCAAGGAAGGACCACTCCTTGGAGAGGGACATCATGCTTGGAAGAGTGGAGGGACAACACAAGAGAGGAAGACCCTCGATGAGATGGTTTGACTCAGTGACTGGGGTTATAGGGTATAAGAAACAATGAAACTGGCTCAAGATAGAGCAGGGTTCAGAGCAGTCGATGTCTCAGGCGACTAGATGGCACATAATCACAACATATATGTATACATGTGCATATACATATGTTGTCTTTAATAACCTGATTCTGAGCAAGTAGAACTCCAGCAACCCTCAATCTCTTATTGAAATAGTCTTTGTTTCCACTTGATTTGTGGATTGTATATACCATTTCAGGGAGCTCTGTTGCCATAGTTGCACTGCTAACACTAAGACAGCACCTCTCTGGCAGTTTGAACCCACCAGCAGCCCAACAGAAAGATGGGCACTGTCCTCCTGAGTGATCTGTAGCCTCAGAAAATCTGCTGGAGGGTCAGCTTAGAAATGAGGGAGTGAGTGACACACTGTTTCAACAATCTCAGTTCCTTTCCCCATCATCTGCTTTCAGGGATCATTTGGGTACAAAATAATTTCACTGTATTTTCATGTGTGTGTTTTCATTAGCTTCACAAAGACAACCTTATATACCAGACTTTATTCTTTTTTATTCTAGTAACACTAAAATTATAGCAGAATTTTATGACACAATAAAAATCACCAATAAAGCTATATCTGAACCATAAATCAATGTAAATAATGTGTATTAAATATACCAAATAGCCATTTTTTAAGCATAATTAGAATAGATGGCACACAGCCCAGAAGGAGTGTCAGGTATAAAAGCACAGCACATGGAAATAGATTTCATTAAATCTGTCTTTATGAGATAGCAATAGATTGAAGTTAGTCCACAATTTTTGCTACTGGAAAAATTTCTGACTAGGGTTTTCTTTTCTTTTTTCCTACGCCCTAACTTTTTTTTTTATTGAAGGGTGGAACAGTGGGAAATCATACTTAAAAAATTACTAGACAGAGGATAAGAGGAATGCCTTTCTGGGGAATAAGGGGAGGCTAGGGACAGAGTGAACTTGGGAAGTCTGGGGAGAGCACGTATCCAGAATCCAGGAGCATGGCACTGGAGCAGTGGAAAGTGAGCTAACCACGCCCTCAGTGAAAAGTGGCTCATCCCTGAGGTCACCACCCCACTGCAATCTAGCAAGTCAAGAGTACACATTCCCTTGCACCAGACACACACACAGGAGCTGAATAGGTAAGGAGGTGAAGTTGTGTGATACAGACTGAATTGCCTCTTCCTTCCCCAAACTATGAGTTGGAAATCCAAGTCCTTATACTTCTAAATGTAATCTCATTTGGGAACAGGGTTTTCTTTAATTAGGTCTTATCAGCATAAAAGGAATTGCTCATTGCCATCAAGTCTGAACTGACTCATTTTGACCTCCAACAGATTTTACAGGGATGTGAATCACATAGGAAGAAAGTGTTCATTTTCCTTCTGTGGATTTGAACTGCCAGAGAGGCATCACTCTTCGAATAACTAGTTTACTACCCTATGGGACAGTCTACTCTGTCCAACTGTCAGATGCAAAGCAAGTAAACGAAAAGACTCAGGTGCACCTTAGCTTTTTTTTTTTTTTTTTTAAATTTAGGTTGTTTATTTTTCATTTCAATGAACATCTACAGAGATTTTGGGATTCCATTCATTCATTGTTGCACCCTTCTCCCCGCACAAACCCCTCCCCCCTCCCCCCCCCATTTGCTCCTCTCCTTGAAAAGCAAAAGAAAAACTCCCTCAATTGGTACACAATCCCCCCCGCACCTCCCCAAACCCCACCCCCTACCCCCCAATATAATCCACTCTGCAACCCTCATTGCATACTCCTACAATAAAAATAATGCCCTAAAATATAATACTTTTAGACTATTCTCTCCCCCATAGACTTCAATGCTGTAAACATATTTCATCCAGCACCTTAGCTTTTAAACGGACATCACTGCTCCTTAGAACTTTGGGAAATCCTTGACAGCATATTTTCCCAATGCAACAAATCTTTGGATTTCTTGATTGCTA